AAAATTTGGAAGGAATTCAAATTCAAATGAGAAAATAAGAGAGGGAAAAATTCGAAAATCTCAACTAATATTCTGAATTATTTTAATAATTAATAATCAACCAAAAATCTTTTTTTATTAATATTTATATACTACTGTACTATACTCAAGTTTACATTAATAATAACAAGGTCATTAATAATATTAATCACCAAAAGATTATATATAAAAATTATTAAACCGTAAATTAATATTTAGCAGAATTAAAAATACAAGACTATATATTTTATTATTTATTTATTTTGAAAACTCAGAAAATTCCAGAAATTAGGAAAAGTATTAATAAAATATAATATATTATTTTAAATACTAGAAAAATTTATTTAAATACGTATCAAAATTCACGGTTGTTACAAATTATTTTGGAAATAGTTGCAAATGATAGTGATATAGGTGAGTAGGTGCCAACCTAGTTAGGATTTACTTATCTATTGTGATGCGATTAATTCCAAAATAAATTTGTACTTGTAATTGTAAATGATTTATTAATTATTAATAAAGAATTTGTTTTTATCATTTTTTATTTGTAATTTATATCATTTTAAGTGATTAATAAAATTATTGTTTTTTATTATTTTTCTTGTCTTTTTTTTGTATAATTTAAAATTTAAATAAAATCTAAAAAATTTGAAAAAAATTGAAAAAATTCCGGGCCAGCCCGGGTCTGGACCTCAGTTTTGCTCGGCCCGGGCTCGGATTTTCGGGCCAGGCCGGGCCGGATGGACAGGCCTACCTTTGTTTTGAGTGCTCTTGTATTATAATCTCTCTATTTAATGGTTCATTTGGATTGTTTTCTTCTATTCAAATTGCCACGACTTTCTCTGCTGTTGGATAGTTATAAATCCTTTGGTCAAGGTTAATGTTCTTAGATACAAATTTGTAATTCTCTCAACATTGGTACATCTTTAAGCCTCCGTAGAAATTTTGGATAAGGATTGTCTTCTAGGATTTTCATCATAGTCTCCATTGTGTTTTCTGCTAATTTTCCTTCTTGTACGACATTCATCCTATTTTGCAATTCATTATCTGTATCATAAAAATATAACTGGAAGAAGCATGGTCTATCATTTTGTGGTATCAATCTAGGCAAACTATGGTAAAACTGACCTTGTGCTCTAAAAGTGTATATTCCATGCCTTGAAGATGCCAAGTTTTTATCAATTGCTACCCCCAATGAAGTGAATGAGAAAACATTATTGCATGCTCTAATGTTTCTCCTAAACTCAACACCCTCATTACATTCCGATGTTAGCAAAATATGTAACTCATCTGGAATATAAGGTTCCACAAGTACTGTTTTTCCATTATTGCAGCAAAAAGATGGATTCTCATATTCAAATTTTATTTCTCCATAATGGATGCAACTTGCTATCTTTCCAAGCTTTTGTAGTTCTGAACAAGACAGCCTTGATATATTTGTTCCTATATGATTGTAATATATTATTAGCTAATTTTATATATAGTAAAAACTTAAATTATTATATTTTTAAAGTTATCAAAGCTCACTGTTGCATTCAACTTGGTAATTGGATGCTCGTTCGAGCCAACTTGCACTTCTTTTCATTGACTGCTCTTTTGTATTTTGACTATTATCCATAGTCCTCTTTATTCTCTTATTTCGACACACCCTTCCAATATAAGCTTCTCTCTCCTTATTAGTTAGCTCATTGTAATAATTTTTTCTTTTGATTTTCTTTGATTTTGTTGATTGATCTATATGAATATATTAGTATTATTTGTTATTGTTTATCTTAAGGATGCATCAGAAAAATTAAATTTGTTTGACTAACTTCATTTGATTCCATTTGATTTTTCCAATAATTTTTGATGCAAACTTGTGAGAATATTATTTGAACTGCACAAGAATTGAATGCTAATTTATTTTTGTCAGATAATAAATTTAAATTTTAAAATTTAAATGTTATAAATTCATTCATTATGTAATTTTAATAATTGACACAATGAAAATTTTCATAATGTAGTTAAATTCAATTAAGTTAACATAGTAATTGCAACACTAATAAAACTATTGTTATAATTACTATACAACCTATATAAAGCATTACTTTTGTAAATTTCTTTAGAAATGTATATTGTTTTCCTTGCTGTAGTAGATGGTTGTTCTTAATCTTTAAACCTAACAAAAATATCAAAAATAAAAAGTTAGTATTAACTCAAATCATCTTAATTTGGTTGTTATATTTTATTATTGTAACTATTGTTAATTCAATTTATAACTTCTTTTCAAAATAAATATCTTTTTAGAGAATATTTATTAAAAAATTAAACATATGAAATAAAATTGCAAATAAACATCTTAGTTATAAGACAAATATTTTAATTTAATAGAGGAAAAGATAACTTTGATAGACAATACTTTTTACTGGAACACCACCATGGAATCATTAATGGAAGAATATCGGCATGTTGATGGCATTAAGATTGCTCCCAGTGGAAGGATGTCGGTTTCATTGTTCAGGTCCGGTGAGACTATAGATGGACATGTGAGAACGCAAATGGAGGAGTTATGGACAATAGAAGAGGTAGATTTCAATATACAGGGCCTAACCATGGAATGTTTCTTGCCTCCTGCTAGCCTTCAAGAAGGAAAAAAAAGGTAATGATGTGCCAATGAAGAATGGGCTTCCGCCTAAGAGAATACATAACGCTGTGATAAAGCTCGGTTCTTCAAAGGTTGCTGCAATTGATATCGTAGACTTGGTTTGTTTAGATGAAGAAGATGGGATGCAATGAACAACGACTTATTTGGTTTTGTAAATATAGAATCCATGTAAAATTTGGAACTTGCGTGATGGAATTAGTTTCTTATGATTAGAATTTGATCAATTGGAGCTTATATTGCTCTATTGTAAATAGTATAAGTACTAATAAAATAACTTAAATTGAATTCTAAATATCGATTTCTTGCATAGCATATAATTTGTTAGAGTACTAAGTAGATAGAACTACAAGTATAAAATACTTCATTAGTTTTTTGATGTAGTTTGTAGAATGAATTATATGCATAACTCTAAAAATAAATCAGGATACAAGAACGTGTCCATGAACGTGATTTATACCACATGCTTTCAATCTACGAAAAAGGAGTGTAAAAGAAATAGTGAAGCGTCAAAGAGGTTTTTTGATGATATAATGAGATCAAATATGTCTCCTACTGAGTTTACTTTCAATATTATGATTGATTTCTTGTGTAAAGAGGTGGATTTGGAGACTACAAGGGAGGTTTTTTAAAAGATGAAAGAGATTGATTGCTCACCGGATGTTGTTACTTATATTTCTCTCATTGATTGAAATGGGAAGTGTGGGGAGTTGGAAGAAGCAGAAAGACTTCTTGGTGAGATGAAAATGGTTGATTGCAAGCATGATGTGATAATCTATACTGCACTCATTAACTGCCTTTGCAAGTGTAGAAAGGTGCCAAAGTCACTTGGTTACCTAAATGAGATGAGGAGGAATGATATAAGACCCAATGTGGTTAACTTTAGCACTTTTATTGATGCATTTTGCAAGGAAGGAATGATGAATGAGGCAATGAAGTTCTTTGTGGACATGAGAATAAGAGGCTTAACACCCAATGAGTTCACATATACTTCTTTAATAGATGGGAATTGTAAGGCTGACAACCTTAAGGAAGCTTTGATTGCTGGATGATGAAACGCGAGGAAGAAAGTGGAGTTTAATGTTGTTACATACACGGCTTTGGTGGATGGGTTTTGTAAAGAAGGGAGGGTTGCAGATGCAGAAGATTTTTTTCTAAGCAATGGTTAACGCTGGTGTTGCTGCTAATGAACTGATATACACTGCTGTTGCTGCTAATGAACTGATATACACTGCTCTTATTCATTGGAATTTCTAGAAGAAGAATGTAAAGAGGGTAATGGATTTGGTTGTAGAAATAAAGGGAAAAGGCGGGTAAGTAGACTTGACTTTGTATGTCATTCTTACTTGGGGCCTTTGTACTGAAGAAAAAATCGATACAACTAAGGCTCTAGTTGATGAGATGGATATGACAATAATAAAAAGTAGCTTTTCAGCCCAATTCTGTGGAGAAAGCTCGTAATTAGGCTTTTATGAAAAAAATAATGTTTTCTGACTTTTCAAAAACCTTTTCCTGAAAAAATTTGATGAACCAAACACAATTTCATGAAACCAGTTTGGCCAAAATGTTTTTCGTGGTGGGTCTGTCAGCGGGTTCCACTCGTTTTCTAAGGTTTCTGAGTGAACCAAACAGAAAGTGGTGTTTGTCTTTAGACCGTGTAGACTTCTGTCGCTAATTCCTTGATGAAGGGGCTTAACAATAGTTCAATTTTCAACTTTTCACCAGATGTTATAGACCTCAGCACTGGATGTTTCACTTCCAGATTATAATTATATCGTTAGACTTTAAACTATGTGAATGTTTCAAGTGGTGTATAGTAGAGTACAACTCTAGGCTTTCTGTGTATGAGAAAATGCAAAGAGTTGCTTCTACTGTTATTTGTTGATGGCTGATAGTATTTGAGATCGTCATATGGTAGCTATTTCAATGAGAATGGATGGCCTTCTTCTTCTGTCTTTGAGACACCTTAACAGTGGATGTTTCACTTCCAACGTATAATTATATCATTAGACTTTAAACTATGTGAGTGTTCAAGTGACGTGTAGCAGAGGACGACTATAGGCTTTTTGTATATGAGAAAATGCGAAGAGTTACTTCTCCTACCAATGTCTATATCTTGCTACTGTTTCTCTTGATCGGAGGGATTAACTTGTGACAACTTTAGTGATTGGGGGATGTAATATCAATTTCAATGAGTTGATGGACTAAATTTGAGATAACTTATGAGAACTGAGTGACCAAACAGAAATTTCAATGATTTGAAAGGCTAACTTCAAATTGTTAAAGATTTAAGGGACTAATATAAAAAAGAAACCTAAGAATAACTGCAAGAACATAAAGTCAATCAGATGTTTCAAAGACAAACTGAATAGTTATATTATAGACTCACACATGCTAAACACTACTCTAATTAAGCATAGACATGCAACTCTCTTTCATAATTTTTTAGCTGAGAAAATCATCACCCATCTCCTAGTGTAAAGTTTTTTTCACATTGATTCCATGGAAACAAGCTATGTTACACTGAAAGAAAAATCTTTGATGGCTATTGAGTATATTACTTCATATCACAAATTTGTTCATTTCAGATTATAAATGTAGTGTCTTATCTGGCCTACTCATACTCTTTTTCATTTCAAAAGTTTTTGCCTCTTCCTAACAGTTTTATCACTTTTGCAGGACTGGAAGACTGAAAGGTGGCTATATAAAGTTAGAATGTCTTCCTTCCTATTCATTTAGGCAATTTATGCAGCTTATTGTATAAGGATATAAGGTTGAACCGCCCTCTTATTCAATCATACAATGCTAAAAATTCAGCACTAAAAGGAAATCTTATGCAGACAATTACAACTTCCCAAAGGTCTGTCTGCCTTGACAGATAACATGTATGAAAAAGCTTGATGGAATGAATGTAGGCGTCTAAAAAAGGCCTATGGGTTCCCGCACGCAGCCCGAGACAAAGAAAAGACGATGAACGTCGTCATCCGAGTTAAGAAGGATTATACAAGTGCCCGCCGTGCTTGTTGGCCAGCTCCAAGTGCCATCAAGAAGCTAACGAGTGCATGAAGTAAGTTAGCGAAGCGTACAAGTCAACAAGATGACCAAATATGTAAAATGGCAGAAAGTACAAGTCCGGGAAAGTCGGGAAATACCGAAAAGCACAAAAAAGTCTCGGAACCCGCGTAGGGCGCGAGTCACCACTTGGTGACCCATGGGCATGCGGGTCACCATTTGGTGACCCGCACCCACGTGAGTCACCGTGGCCTGCCGCGCACCCTAACTGCCCGAAACGCATTTTTGACGTATTTCTTGATATTTCTCAGGATTTGTTCGTTCCAGAGCATCTCAACTGATTGGATATCATTCTAAACGGGGTTAGACCGTTGTCAACTGAAGATATGGCCAAATCCCTCATTCTTATCCAAATAACTGTATCCGAAGCCCTATAAATATAAGCCTAGGGCCTCCATTCTAGTGGGGAGATTATTATCAAGATGAGGAGGTGCTGCCAAGTTAGAGAGCAAGGGAACACGAGTTTCAGAGGAGGCTAGCTGATCTCAGCGAAGTTCTTTAGCATAAAGAGGGAGAGTTTGAGAGATCTGAAGCCCCGTCCCCCATTCCTCAATATTAGGCTTGGTCTTAATCTTGAGAAGAGTACTAATTTCGATTGGTCGATATCAGTACTTTAGCGAATACTTCCTTGGTGAAGTAGGAGCTCTGATTAATCATTCTGTCAACCGGATCTAATCCGTAGGCGGTCCACGAATATCAACATCCCCGACACAAGCAAAGATCCCACGCAAACAGAAACTAATAAATAGGATCTATATATTGTTCGAAAGAGATTATAATCAGTTATTTCCATTGTGTAAAAGTCTTATAAAAAGACTAACTTTCCGTTGAGTTTATTATAACGCCCGAAGTTGTAATAGATTTAATCACAATGAAGAAAATAATTTCTGACCCAAACACGTTGACGACCACAGTGGAAGCCAACAGCTTCTCTGCAGAGGCTCTACAGAGGTTGTCATGTCGCAACCTCAGATCCGGATCCTGGTTGAAGAAGAGGTTGAGTACGAGTTCGACCAATAGAAGTTCGAGGGGTATCTGTCGTCCTCCTCCTCTAGATCCTCCTCCACTCACAAGCATAGGAAGATCAACGCCCCCGTTACTATGGTAGCCGAACCTTGCAACGCCCCTCCGGCCTCCAACGAAGTTGGATCTGCAGATCTGGACTCCTCCTCAATCAAGGAGTTGAGTACTGAAGGCGCGCTAATCCTATCAAAGATGGCACGTCAAAGGCAATGTCAACGCCTCACGCGCCAACTCGCTAAGGCTTTGAAGCCAGTGGACAGAATCTGTTACAGGGCGGTGTTCGCGGGAAAAATTGTTTTCTTCATTGATGTCATTGTTCTCTCAAGTAATTGCTTTTTGATTACAAAAGATCCGGTCTTTTTATAAGATCCGGTTACAACGAAATCAAAGAAAAAATAAAAAGATTACAACTTTCCTTTCGAACGAATCACGAGCTCCTGTTTTGCGGTCACTCGCTTTTGTGGGTTCTTTGCCAACGTCGGGCTTAATCCGTGGACCACCGCACGATCTAGACCCGGTCAGATCTACACGATTTGACGGGTGTTATCTCACTAAGGAAATAACAGCCGGGGGGTACTATTTCACCAAGGAAATAATAGCCTTTAGTTCTCGGGATCAAAGGCTAAGCTTTGATCCGGAGTATTACTTCGTGTAGATCTCAGATATGATTTCTCTCTCTCGAACTCCTGCCTTTTGTGACGTGGATGCTCGCCAAGAACCAGATCTGAATGTCCAAGTCTTTAAGTCTTCAAAAATCCAAGCTCAGTTCTTAATTCGGCAGAGTTTCGGCTCCAGAAGTTCCCACATTTCAAAAATGAACCATGCCCTCTATTTATAGGCTCTCAGATCTGTGCCTTGGCACAGATCTGGGCCGGCCACCTATTAGGTGGCTCGCACCTAGCCACCTAATAGGTGGCTAGGTTTGCGCGAGCCACCTAAGGTGGCTCGCGCCGCGAGCCACCTATAGGTGGCTCGGTTTTGGCCGAGTCCCCTATGTGTTGTGGTTTTTGCCATTTTTTCCGGTCTCGTGGTTGATTTAGACTCTGATTTGTTGATCTGAATCCTAATTTGGCAGTAAACCGGCTTTGTTGTTGATCCGGACTCTGATTTGACGGTCCGAATCCCAATATGGCAGTAAATCCGCCTCGGTGTTTGAGTTTAAATCCGTTCTATGGTTGGATGACTCGTTGACTCACCGAACTGTTAGCTTGATTCCGCATGTGAATGGATGTATTCCATTGTTTGCGTGCGGTTCGTTAGCCTTGTTGCCTCGTTAATCCGCTTCGTTGCGTGTCACTTGGCCTCGGCGTTGTGGACTGACGCTCGTGTTTGGATATGTCGCCCGATGGTTCGTCGGTTTATGCCGAGCTGTGCTAAGGGACCTATAAGCAATTTTATAAGCTTACAGATACCCTCTCCAAAGTATTTCAGTCTCGTTCTTTTATATAAGAGTCTAGAATACTTTGGATATGATTGTCCCAACCTTCAGTCGGTGTAACGGGACTTTGGAATAGCTTCTGTTCTTGATTCCTTCGATCCTTCAGGCCATTCGGTGCTTTGTCGAATGTCTGTAAGGTTTCCGGTGCTGTATTTATTGTCTGACCATTGTCGGAATTTTGAATTTGAAGTCGGTTCTTAATTTCCTGATCTTTAGCTCGTGCTTGTTGGTTCAACATAGAACTGATTGTTGGCGTTGAGTCTTTATTTGCGACACGTTGTCCGGCGTAGTGTTGTTGAGTTATCCTTAAGAATATTTTTTAGAAAAATATTCTCCAGAAACTTCTCAACCAAAAATAGGAAATAGTTTATACTCGTATACCTTATTGGAGTATTTTTCATGTCTGAATGAGCCGAACCGGCCTATTAATGACCCAAAAAAGGCAGTAATTAGGCTCAAAAAATCTTCCGACCCTTCCGAATGTGTGGGAGAGGCAAGTATAAACAAAGGATTGAACCC